TTTTTTTTTTAAAAAAAAAAAAAAAAAAAACACGAAAAAAGAAAAAAAGCTTAGCTTTTCTGTCCAATTTTGCAACAAATTGAGAAATGTTTTGAATTTACCCTGAATTTCTTTCAGTAATTTTCTGGCACATGTTCATCTACAGGCATAATCCTGAATTTTGGTCAGGCCATGATCGATTCTTTCCATCATTATGGGATTCGTTCCACTCTCCTTGGTATCGGACGCCCGCACTTGGTACAAGTTACACTTACATTGAATTCACAGAAACTGGAGGGGGTACGGCGAAAAAAGACAGCAAAGATGGAGTGAAGGAGGCACGGAAATCTCCCGAGAACCTTGTGGAAGATCGTGACAGCTTCAAGGTTTCGTTTGATGTGTCCAAATTCAAGCCAGAGGAGATCACTATTCGCTCAGAAGATGGAGAATTAGTGGTGGAAGGAAAGCAAGAAGTAAGGAACAAAGAAGGCTTTTCCACTCGCCACTTTGTTCGTGCGTTTTCTTTACCCAGGAATATTGATCGCGACTCTTTCAAGTCCCGTCTCTCCAAGGATGGAATACTGAGCATCGAGGCGAAAAAGCTGCAGCAGGCAGAAGCGAAGGATAACTATATCAAGATCGAGAAAGAAGAAGAGGTGGACTAAAGTTTCAAAGGTGATAATTTCATCCGGAACTGTTGATCAAGATAGAGCAAAAATTGTTTACATAGAATTGACAGCATGACTCGCAAGGCAGTTAAAATCAGTGATAAAGGTATTAAACTGTTGTTTTTCACTAGCTACAGACTTCAGCTAATGTTGTATCTGTAACCATTCATGTTAAAGTGGTGTAGAATAAAGCAAATGCTTTATGCCGTAGAAACTGCTGACTCATCTATTTACAGTTAGGGCAGGTGGGGGAAAGATGTGGTGCCCGTGGGGTGTGTGTGTGTCTGGGGGGGTGGGGGGAGAGGTAGCTTCTTCAGATCCTGTTGGAGCACATGCAGACGAATGATTCGAATCCGTGGTGGGGGGGACTTCTATCCGGGCTGCTCGTCAGAAGTTTTGAAAAGAACCCCTAAGAGTTACCAAGTTCCTGTTTCGTGGGCCCGGCTTGAAACCTTTTTNGGAGAGGTAGCTTCTTCAGATCCTGTGGGAGCACATGCAGGACTGTCAACCCCGGGGAGACTCTCATATAAAGAGGAGGGGGGTGCTAGCCAAAAGTTTTGAAAAGAACCCCTAAGAGGTACCAAGATCTTGTTTTGTGGGTGTGGCTTGAATTTTTTACACCCCTAAGAGATACCAATTCTAAAACAACACATCTCCTGTCATATTTTTTCAGCCTAATACCCTTAGAGGTACCGCAAAAGGTCCTGCTGTGGACCTTTTGAGGCTTGACACTCTAAGAGGAACCAAAACCACGTTTTTAACCCCTAAAAGGTTCAACAAGCACCCACGTCCTTTTTATATGGGAGTCCGCAATGGGCTATCAACCATGCCAAATCTACTGCTTGATTGACTTCCCATCGCTATTGTCCTACTCTAAGTGGAATCTCCATATACTGACCACAATATACTGGCCTGTCTTCATTGTCTTAATTCCTTAGACATGTAGGCAGCCAGACTCAAACTGTGCCACGAGTAAAATCTCGTCGAAAAAACTTGTTCTTTAAAAACGCACATCACATGATATTCTGTAAATCATGGAACAAAACTTGATGATAGGTACTTAGCTGCACCTATATTGCAGCGGTTATAAGACCTTCCTTCTAATTATTGTGCCCCCATGTGTTTCCAGGCATAATGATACTTTACAAAGTACTTCTTTCCACCCAGCAGTACAATTAATGCTTCCTTAACTGAGTGACCTTTTCCTTCAAACCTAGAAAACACTGAGGACTAGTTTTGGCTGAAAACTGTCAAATAGAGGTAACAATAGTGTTGAACAACATTGAATGATCCAATAGAAACTAAAATGTGCAGTGATGAAACCAGTTTAAAATGTTCATTGAAATATAGGCTGTAATTAAACCTGAAAATGACTCAACTACCATCAGTATACCATTTTATTCTGTTTGGTACAGCTTTGTAATCAACAGTTAAAAATTTATACATAACACAATAACATACCATTCCCTTTTTGACTTCACTGTCTGTACACACCATAAAGATAACATCTCCATATGTAGATACTTAGGGCACGTTCCTTTGGGGTGATCTGGATCAGGATCAGTGATCAGATCACTTGGATCATGGTGCATCAGAGAAGCTGATGAATCCGTGACCATTGTGATTAATCGGTTCCTTTGATGTACCATGATCTGGGTGATCTTGAATCACTGATCTGGATCCAGATCACTCCAAAGAAACGCACCCTTAACAAGGTCCCAGCCACATTAAAACACAAGATTCTTAACCTTCCACAAGTGGATACCTCTCCTGTGGATCCTTTTTCTGCCCCTAGCTACGACGTCCGCTTACAGGAGGTTCCAGTTTGTAATATTAAGCCTGGGTAGGAATTATTCCTATACAAACAGTTTTTTGTTCTTGCCCCAATTTTGGCAGGACTAAGAGGCAAGAAACTCCGGAATCGAAAGTACGGAAATGATTGCTACACAGGCTATAAATTTAATATTATCATCAACTTGACAATTTAAGTGCCAATTTTAGTCATATTTTGCATTTTATCATTTATCACTAATGTATCACACACACAAAAAAAACAACTTGGCATACAAATCAAACCTCATTCAAAACACACTAAATATAACTTAACAAATGCATGAAGGACTTTGAACTTGCACAGTTCTAAAATGAGTCATACTGTCGAGTTGACTGTCAAAAGGAAAATTAGCTTGGTGTCTAATTTTTTTGCCAAAGCTTTGTCAATAAAATGAAAATGAATGCCACCTTTAATTTGAAACTCTTGCCATCCTACTAAAATGTGACAAATCTTGTGTGTAATGACAGTAAGTGAAGGGTACATGATAGAGAAGGTGAAACAAGTTTTCATGCAAAACCCTTCACATGAAAATGAGTTTGATTTGCATGAAATGAACCTGAAGGGGAAACACATTTTCATAGGAATGGTTTTGCATGAGGACTCATTTTCACACGGCAGCAAAAGGCAACACAACAACATAAAGGCAACAAAAATTTCCAGGTATGGAGTTAAGATGACTTCCGTCTTTTCCAAATTGTTGTGTGTGCCACACTCCACTGATTTTTATGTGCAGTTTCCCTGATAAAGAAAGACATGGGTTTATCTTCTATCAACTCAAAGTTTGGTCCAAGGTAACTCTTGAGCTTGTCAAATCCTGTAACAACTTTCCCTTCAGTATCCTTGTAGCCTCCAAGCCAAAGATTCTGTGAACAACAAATGAAGATACTGGTACTGTATTGTTAAAGTTCTGTATGGAATTATTTATGATATGCAAATTTATTAATTTAAGAATTCCTTTATGTCAACCACCCTGGCCTTGAATATAATCACAACTTTACGGGCCAAAGCTAAGGTGATGATTGCATCAACGGTGTGCCACTGCATCTAAGTGAACAGAAGGAGTGAGTGATTTATTATTTTGGGTGTACAAAATGATTGATAAAATAAAGAATAATAAAAATAAAAATCAAATTAAAAAGGCAAACAGAAAACAAAAATTATGATACAAAAAAGAAAAACAATAAATAACAATAATTATACTTATATTTACATAACGTCTTCATGTGTCAAGCTTCTGGGATACCAAGAGACATACAGCACATTGAATTGAAATAGCCGTGTTATTGCAGTTGAGTCTGTGGTCAAACGATTCTTTTGTTGACAAAGGCATACAAATTACTGAATGAGATGAAAGGGTCGATAGCAAGCAGAACCGACCTCTTTTGGCTCATTTGTATATCAGACTGCTGCAAACTGTGATGCTGAGTTTTGGTTCTTTTTGGGTGGTAAATTTTTGTGGGTGAATCATGTTCCTGAAGACTGAAATTTGATTTATATTATGAGAGTTTTACTTGTCTTATGATCACTAAAACACACCTTGGGTGTGAACTCCTCCAACCAAGAATAGGGTGAGGTGATGACCAAAATACCACCGGGTGCGACCAGAGAAGGGAGCCTGTCCAAGAACTGATATGGATTTGGAAGACGGCAAACCAAATTTGCAGCTAGAACACATCCAAACTGCCCAAGATCACTGGGTAAGTTACAAGCATCTCCTTGGAAAAAGGATACATGACTCCTATCCTAAAGAAGAAGGCAAAAAAATTGTACATTTAAATTTTGATAGTACAGATGCCTTAAGTTCCCTTCACAATGAAAAGAAACAAAAAAAAAGAAAACACCTTGCAAAATATTGTGACTTGCCACAGCTTTATGAAAAAATCAAGACTGTAAGACACACATAACCTGTGGCCACTGTTTAATACTGTGAATATAGCCTGTATTTTTTAAACTTAAATTGTTGGGCTACAACATTTGATTATGGAACCCTCACCTTTGATACAGAGGTCGGGCCCTGAGTAGTTTTGTCCTCTCCTTAGGCCCTGTCAACACTTCACTGAAGTAATTTGAAACACAGCTTTATTTCTATGGCTAGGCCTCCCACCAACACTAATACATCACAAAAACAGAGCTTTTTGAAAACGTTCTTCAGACCAGAGGAATTTGAAAACACCAGCTTTGCATTTTATTGTGGATAGAAAACATTTTGAAAACAAAGCTTTTGAAAATGATGATGTCGCGATAGTCATGTGATTTCCCTACCCGAGTTTTCCTCAAGGACAATATCCAAAATAACCAGCGATTGTTTTGTTTTCAAATTTCTCTGGTGTAGTGTGGACGGAAAGCATTAGATGCATTAATGCTGCTTTCAAATTTCTTCAGCAGAGTTTGGATGGGGCCTTCTTTTAGGTTCCTCTCTTCAATTTCAAGCTGATCAGGTCTCAAGATCAAACATAACAAATTGTTGACTGCCGGGCTACTCTTCAGATAGCATGGTACACAGTATTATAAACATAAGCATTTTAGTACACAGGCACAGGCAGAATACCAAACACACAGGTTTACTTACAATCTCAGGATCTACTTCTGCTACATGTTCCGATACAAGACTTCCTTCTGTCTGTACAGTGAAGGGTAATTTTCCATATGTCTTAAGCTTATTGCAGGCATCAATAAAACCATGCGAGAAATCGATCCCCACAACTTGATTAAATCTCTTGGCAAGTTCAAAAGTAGAACGACCTACAGCACAGCCAATGTCAAGTGCTATACTTGGTACATTATCCTATAATGAAATTAAAATATTAGGTCATCGATATCATCACAGTGCTTATTATTGTAATTTTATATGATTGTATTCAATTATGGCTTTTCTCAGGGATGGCATTTTATGAAAATTAATAAAAAGGGTAGGGGATAATAATTATTGGACCTTGAGGCAGACAGACGTACTCCTCTTTTTTCTGTGTGGAATGTAATGGAAGAAATTTCTTTGCCATTTTCTCAATTAAAAAAAAAGAAACTAGTGAAGCATTAAACAGTCCTGGTGACAGCATAATTGTCAAGTTCAAACATCAGTGTCTTGTGGGATAAAGTATTTATAACACTCAAATATACTTCATCGCACTTCACACTGATGTTTGAACTTGAAAAACTATGCTGACATGATCAGGACAGCGAAACGTTGTTGGCTACTGATTTCACTAGTCACTTCATTTTAAGATGTTTCTCCACAACATCTCTAATTTACTCAACTCCCCAGGAAACGATATACAGCAAACCAAACTGTAAACAGGTATATAAGCGTCGTCTTGTTCGGTTGTTTTGCTGATTTTGAAAAAACCCTTACTATTATTTTGACGGCCATCTCAACCAGTCCCTTCAGATTAATGGTAGGCACCCAGAGCCTTTGATGAGTACCCCCTCCCCCACCCCGCTCTGGACAAATAGCTTTGAAATACCTTGCCGGTTTATCTAAACTACATTACACAATATCTAGAGCTTAAATTTGAAATGCGTTTGCAGTAAAGTCACTGATGTCAAAGTCCCTGTAAGGTAAGGAATTTAAAGCTGATGTGAACTGAAGTTATTAAAGTAAGCTTACATTTGGTCACTGATCTCGCTAAGCGTAGGTCTGTCCTGAGCTTGTATGCTTCAAGCATGCCTAATATATATTGCTTCATGTGATGCCGGCATCTACATTTCACCTCTGCCAATGCACTAAATTAAAGTAAACAAAAGGATTGAAGGTCATTGAACGCACGAACTTACCTCGGTATGTTTTATGCATTCTAAAGCGCACCGTTTTGGAAAATCGAGGGATTCTGTTGGGCCAAATCCATACGGTAACAACTCATCAGGTTTACCAAAATGGAATATAAGGTATTCGCCGATCAACTTCTCTGTTTCGTAAACGTTTTCCTTCGCTTCACGACGTTTAGAAAGGTAACGGCAAGCTATGAATGTCAAAGCTGAAGCACTTAGAGCACTAGCAGAAGCAATCATAAGCTGTTTCTCCATGATTTTGAGATCTTTTGATGTTGAGTAACCGGCACCACGTGGGAAAGTTGGGCTGCGGTTTGAGATTCAAGGGTAGGGTGGGTGGTGGATGGGTGTCACAAGTGTTCTATCGGAAGAGAGGAGCTGTTTTCTCTTACCGGAAGTAATTTTGTGCAGTTGATCCCTGAGTCGATCATCGGACAATTATTGAGCAGGATTTTATTTTAAAAATCTATGCCAAAAAACCTTTTCGGAGATCTAATCGTTTGGGGGTCCTTATCGGGCTTGCTTGTCTGAAAGCCAGGTTAAATTGTGTTTGCCTTTAGACGAGATAAAATGAAATGAAATTTCCCCATAGAAATAATACTCCCTTTTCTAGCCAGGTGGAGATATTTACGTTTGGTTCATTTTTGTTGGTCTGGATAAATTATTTAGCAAATTAATGGGTTACATTTGTAGCATTTGTTGAATTGTTATTCAAATATTTTAATTTTCATCCCACAGACATCCGTAGGGGATGTAGCTCAGTGGTAGAGCGCTCGCTTCGCATTCTAGATTTGGGTCTGCGAGAGGCCCGGGGTTCGACTCCCCGTATCTCCACCTTTTTTTTTTTCCTGTCTTTTCATTTTCAACATGCAGAATACTTTTTCAACGTTTTTAAGATTTTAGAAAAGGAAATAACAGCGTGAATGATCAAAAATTCCGGCGCAGCAAATGCATGGCGAAAACGACTTTGGGGTTTAGTCACCGTCAGATCAATTTTAAAGAATGCTCTGAAAAATTGTTTATTCTAGAGCAGAAATGCAAAAAAAAAAAAAAACCACACAAAAACACAAAAAAAACAAAAACAAATGAAAACCCATCGAAAGCGACCTGTAAAGGGTTTCCAACAAGGCACTAGCACTTTGTTGGTGTCTCTGCGCAGGGTCTGGCACTATATGGGGGGAGTTCGACTTCTTGTCCAGTCCCTTTACAGCACTTGCCCGACTCCGAGTAACTGACGGATAAACATCGTCGCCATGTGTGCCTGTTCCAGTTGGAGCAAGAGGCTATTACAGGAAGGTATGTTACAAAAATTATTTAGAGAATTTCATGGAATCTTCCTCCATGGGGGTTGCAAATGTATTTCGATTTCAACAGTTCCCGGGGAACAGTTGCACCTATAGATCGTTCCACTAGGCATTTACTAGGAAAATGAAACGCGGTATCCAGTATGCCTACTGCAGGTTGATCGAAAGGGTTACCATTTTCCATGGCTGGTACAACTACATTGTAAGTACTGCAGTACCTTTTCGGTCACCAAAGGTTTATAAAGGGTAACTGCTAAAAAGAACTTTTGGGTATGATCTCAAAATCATATACGCCTGCGCGCCTAATTTCTCTACTGCAAGACCGTAGAGTTCTTTTTCAAACATAAATAAGAAATCAGAGAAGGCGAAACGTATTTTGAATTGGAGGGCTGGGGCTTACAAGCGAGCGCCTTGTAGGGGGTCTGGAGATATTTGTAAAATTATTATTTTATGTATTTTTTTTTGCTTGAAATTGGGGGGGGGGGGGGGGGGGGGGNAGCCAAAAACAAGGATGATTTCTTTTTCAAGATTATATGTCAGAAAATTCAATATTCCCCTGCGGCAGCCCTCTGAGGCATTAGACATATTTTTGAATTTTCAGTTGGTCAACTTCCCATGTCCATCCACTGGGCCAAAAACGGTGTCCAAATGGCCCAGCTCAGGGTCATACTATTAATTTGAACTCTAGGTGATTAAACATAATTTTTTACAAAGATAAGTGAATTTGGAAAACAAAGAAATTCTCTCTTAAAACACCTGTTTTCAACTTCCACTGTGTACATAATTTATTGTTTAGATATTAAGATATGAAAGTGATTAAATTTTTACCTTCAAACACAAAACCAAGCTTTCCAAGGTCTTTTTTCAAGCCACAGTGCTACCAAGAATAGTGTTATCTCTTGATGTTTTCTAGGTTCCCAGCACCCCTCACTCCCTGGCACATGAACAAGTCAAATGCCAAGGGTACGCCTGGGGAGGGGTGATTTAATGTTCTTATTTGATTGCTACATAACACGAAACATTGAATTCAGACAAATTACAGTAAGCTTGAAAAACAAGTCAGGCCAACATTTTCCAAGTACACAGGCCTGAATACAATCCCTAATTATCTTTTTGAGTTCTTCATTTCACTCAGAAAGTAATTGCACCATGATTGGTCAGTTTAATGTGCCCTATTCAACCTCAAGGCCTGCTTCCCGTGGGAATGACTTGAAGTGTTTTCTTTCTCCGACATGATAATTTTGCTGCGTTTTTTCTCAACAATATGCGATCTTATTGCCTGTCCGAGGGTCACATGACATCTACTACCTAGTCTCAGAGCAGGAAAAATTGTAAAATCTGATATCAGAGGGTAGCAGTAACAGTGCAATGTAACTGATCAATGTTGACCATCAACAGCTATGAAATATGTCATATTTTGTTGCATTATGTAACAAATTACTGGATAACTGGTCTATTAGGAAATGAAAGTTAGTTTCCCTGGAATTTCACATTATTCTTTCTGCTCTGCCTTGGAAACATTCTGCAGTTCCAGAAAATATTCATACTTCCCCCACAAAAGGGATTGGAATTTCCTGGGGAGTGGGGGGTTCTGTAAGATGTAAAAATTTAAAGAAATATATGAAGCTTCCAGAGGGGTAGGGGAGGAGGGGGTCTTAGAAAAATCCCTTCCAAGGGGGAGGTTTGGATATTTTTTGGACCTACACATGGAGATTCTGAAAAGAAACAAAATTCTCTATTTTCCTAGGGACCAGTCAATAAGAGTTCATTTTTCATACTGTGCATTAATGAAGCCCAACAAACATCAAATGAGCAGACAAAGATGCCAGTTAGATTTATGTTGGAAGGTCTACAACCGTGCACAATCTTTTGTTTTGCAGTCATACACTATGCATGAGTTATGCAATCAAAACATTTCATTGGTTGGTTCCCCGGTCAGTAGTAAACAACTATTTTGTTTTGTGCAGTCGTTCAAGGCCAAAAAAGAAAACAAAAACATACAACAAAGAACTTTGTCAAGTTTCATAACAATTCCCCGCTATTAACTATGGTGAGAAGTTACAAATATTTCACCTTTTCTGCTCTTGTGGGACCAAAGTTTTCTTTGAATGTTGATCTTTGCCTTGTTTTAAAAAAATCTAAATGTGGGAACATTTCGGGCATGCATGTCCTCAAGTACCATAAATCCTCGAATTAGCACCCAGGGCTCATTTCAAATTTAGAAGACATGGGGCACTTATTCAAGGGAGGTGCTTAATCTAGAGGTGCTTAATATTCAATTTTTCCCAAATCATGGTAAGGTACGATCAGGTTTTTTTTTGTAACATGTGTCAGTCTCTTAGAAGTCTCCTGTCACTCTTGAAGAACTACATGATATAACCCCTTTAGGTGAACAGGACCAAAACTGTACATCCTCTGTTGTCTCAGCACTCTTCCATAAACCAGTGGGAGGGAAGGGGGCACTTATTCGAGAGGAGGCGCTTATTTTAAATTTTGGCTGATAGGAGGGGTGTTTATTTGAGGGGAAGCGCTAAAAGGGTATTTGAATTCAATATCCTCTAATCAGAGGCCCAGGGGAAAATGTTTTAACTTTAATGAAGCTATGAAACAGATGATTATTCTTTTTCCCACAAGTCTGAAACTTCACTCTTCCAGCTGCCAACCATATTATATTTCAGTCGTTTTAGTCTCCAAGGAAGGAGTTAGTCAGAGTCCAACAGAGAACAAGTCAAGTTCAATTTTTTTTTCTACTGTCAGTTTTTTATTATATATCATAAATTGAAAAACATTGTACATTCAATAGTGTTCTTCTAATCATTAACTTTTCACTTCAAATAATCATGCAGTTGTTTCAAGTAGCAACTTGTATCTAAATAATTATGTAACAATTAAATATTATTTTTATTATGGATTATTCTCTGTTAAAATTATGAACATTAATATTGCATGTATGTGAATAAATAAATACTATAATCAGGGTTCGTACCCTTTTCCAGAAACAAATTTCCAGGACTTTTCCAGGACTCAGATTGATTTTTCCAGGACTCTAAAATTCACATCAACCCTTTCACTCCCAAGATCTCAATTTTAATTCTCCTTGCTGTCTGCCATATATTTCATATTTTTTACTTGAGTTTGACAGATTTCCAGGACCAGTAGCCCTTTTCCAGGGCTTTCCAGTCCTGGAAAATGCCACAGTAAAATTCCAGGACTTTCCAGGTTTTCCAGGACCCGTACGAACCCTGTATAATCTATCAAATATTTTTGTTCACATGAGATTGGTCTAGACGCATCATGTGACTGAAGATGTCCCAGGTAAAAGTGGGGAATATCCGGGTGATAATCCTCAATTTTCAAATCCTGCATGTTGTGAATAATATTTAAAGGATAATAAACATGGTAGCCCAGTATTTGACTTAAAAAAATATGCTTGGATACTTGTCCTTGGATATTATCTGTTCCTCAAAGCTCACAGTTTCCTTGAGCTTTGCTCACAGAAGACTGTTCAGTTCTTGGAACAGATAATGTCTGCGGTCAAATATCTGAGCATGTTTCCCGCCAGATGGAGGCTATTGCCGATTTATTCTCTACGAATCGATAACTTTATTTAGTGCAGTTATTGCAGTATATAATAAGTAACACTTGAAGTATGACTTTGCCAAAATGTTTGGACTGCAGATTCTAATATCCAGTTCACAAAGCTCCTTTAGCCTTAACTGAGACTTTTAACACAGGTAATTGAGTAATTGCAACTTGTAGAATATTTCGTTTCCTGAAATTTACAGAAACTTTGCAACTGCATAACATCCAATTGCATCCTAAGACTTTCTTTGAGCTTGTTATACAATCTGCTCTCCCAGTGAACCTGAGTGGGGAATGCATGACAAACCCAAAGAGCACCTGTGTAAGGTCACTAGGCAGCATGTGAAATTTGCAAAGTTATTTACAAAGAACCCAATGATATTTTCTTATCACCTTCAACATTACTGATGACATAAAAACCACCAAGTGATCAAAGCAACACTTTATTTTAAGGTGGACATTAATACTATTAATATAAATAAAAACAGGGGAGATTGACTGAGCGTCTTGGGATCCTGCAGGGACATTGAGTAATGATTTAGCATGAGAGTCGTAAGACATGAGATGACCAATAGTATTTCTCTATTTACGTGAAATACACAACCTATTGTTCAAGTAAAATTTTATGGAAAGCCGTGAAGATTTTAGGGCACTCATGCATAGCTTTTGATCTAAGCAGTTATCTACGTTATACAGCAATTGACTAGTTTTAAACAATATTTTAAGAAAAGTCAATTTTGACATATTTACCAAATGTATTAACATCTAAACCGTCACCATTTAATGAGCTTTTCCTGTTGTTGATCAGTTAGCACACTATTGGAAAAGATGCATGTCTTTTCCAGGGATGGTCATGACTGATGTTTTTATTATCACCTAAACTGTAACACACATTTTTTGCTCCTTAAGAAACCAATAGTATCAGTTTAACCCAAGCACCCAGGCCTTTTTTTACTCCCCTGTACATGTGCAGTACATGTTTAACAAACTAGTAAATCATATTTTGCTATATGACTAATCCATAAGAGACCATGTATGTTCAAATGCCAATATTTATCACTTATATTGTCAAGGTAAATGGGTGGAACCAGAGAAATGAAACTGATTTGGAATCCACTGAACTCTTTTGCACACAACTGCTGAATAAAGATCATTGACAAAGTCCCTATATACATCTAGCTGCAACTTTAGGGCTATTAATTGAGATGTCCTTGTTTAAATTCTTTGCTCACTGTTCTTTCTGAACAGATGACCCTTCATAATTTTGCACAACTGCACATAGATCAGTTCAGGGGGACAGCATGAACACTCCAGGATTACATGTCTTACCTTCAAACATTACTGATTACTTACTTGATGTTGCAGATTATCTTGATCAATATGCAACAAGGAAGTCAACACCACAGACTGTCCCAGTATCTTGCAGTAACGCTGCACAAATCTGCAGAAGAGGTCTTGGCCAAGTCCAAACAGATGTATATACAAGGACTTGGCCAAAGTTGTGTAAGATACTGGTTAAAAAATCTTCAATTTTATTTATGTTATATTATCAGCATCAGCATCACCATCACCATTACTGTTAGTATTAGTGTTGTTGTTGTTATTATTATTATTATTATTATTATTATTATTATTATTATTATTATTACTACTCCTACTATTGAAGTTTCTGTGTCTTCTTTCCAGGTTAACTCAATGTTGGTGGCCTGGATCTGGGTATAAAGATAATTGGCATGAGGCCATCTTTGGAAAGGAAAATGTTGAAAAGTTGCTCCCCATTTCAGGGGACAAGATACAAAGCTACTGCATAGCCCTGTTTAAAACAGGGTATGCACCAGCCAAGTGTTAAAGAATAATGCCCCCAAAAGACTGACGCAGCATCTTGCGGGAACGTCTCAAAAATCTGCGGAGGAGGTCCTGGCCGAGTCCAGGGAGAT